TATACTTTGAGGGTAGATTTGGGTATTCTGCCTAAAAAAAATAACCTAATGCTAAAAATATCTGTACCTTAAATACAACCGAATCAATTTTTCCACATTTCTTTGTATGCAGAATTTTCGTTTTTTTTTTTTTAACTATGAGGGTGGGAGTCAAACCTCACACCTATCACTAACATGAGATTGTGCTTTACATCACATAAGTGGGCACTTGGGCCACAAGGACTTCTAGATCAGTCAGGATTCTAAAGTAAAATGTAAACAAGAAATGCATATGATGGATTTAATCTACATAAGTCAGAACCAATCCTCAAATGGATTTAATCTTCGAATGAAAATTAGAACCAAGCACCTCTAAAGCTATTCAAATAGATTTGAGAGGGCATGGTAGAGTATGTCAGCAGCAGGCGGCCTTGGCAACGATCCTAGAAGAATATCAGATGCTTTGATGGAAGGGTTACCATAGAATCTAGAATTTTCTTGGTTGCGGGTTGTGACTATACTTCCTTCCAGAGAACAACCAACAAATGCACCTGCATGGGAAATCATATTTGGTAAGAACACTATGACGAAATGGAGAAATAAACCCAATTGTCATGGATATGCAGACAGCAGACTATAATAATACAGAGGAACTTCGTGGAAACAAGGAAAAAGATAATCATCAAAAAGAGCAGAGATAAGTTGAATTATCAACTTAATTGTGTTAATAAAATTAAGAAATTAGAAAAAAGTGAAGGCAAAACAAGATCTAGAGTATGCATGTTACACTTTGAACTTGTCTTAGAAGCACAAGCACAAGTTCAAAAAGTTTAATTAAATTGGGGAACCCAATTCCAAGTTAAACTTCTCTTTACCCTCATAATGCACCCAAAACCACCAAACCAGTGACCAAGATATACGTAACTTTTTATAACTGGACCTATAACTCTATATTTATGTGGGTCTGTACATGTCTGTGTTTCTTGGTTTCTGGGTTCCTTTCTCTCCATTTTTCCCTCTTCATCAAGGAGGAGTGCTGGAGGGAAAGCAGGTTAGTAGTTTTGCTAATATTCTCAAAAGGCATCCAATAAATCAGCAACATTAACACATCTTAATCTGCAATATTGACCCCCTTCACTGTTTTTGCTAGAAAAGAACAGATGTTAAGTCCAATCCAACCCTTGCAAGGATTGTTAATGAAAAAAACATCTCACCTTTACTGCAACTGTATGTATAGCAAGCAGCATAACCTTCAGTGTTGCCACGTAATTCAGCTTCAGCAGCACGTCCAACAATGCCAACAGCAGCACTCAAACCAGCTCCCACTGAGAAATGCACATTTCCACTGAATGTTCTAACAGCACTTTTAGTTCTCAACACAATTACGAAATCTGTAACTTCACCTCCAGCCTGTTAAAATTTGTAGTGAGTAAAAAGACATGACCAACATAAACCTTAATTTGGTTAATGATGACTTCTCTAGCACTAAATAAAATAAATCACACGTTTTAATCTATGAGACATTATAAAGTCCATGAGGGAAGAAATAGCAAATGAAATATCAACATAAACAGAAAATTGTATAAAAAATTAAAATAAAATAAGAGCTAAGCAGCCAAACCACTCTGGACAAAATTACTTCACCTGGGGTCCCCAGCCAACACCAAAGGTAGCAATGGCAGATGGTGGAGACCAATATCCATCTTCCCTACGGGCAATAACTAATCCTGTCCCAATGTTGTACGTTACCATAACTCCAACCTTTGCTACAGTGAGAATTGCAAGGCCTTTTGCTTGTTTCAAAATAGCAGCTGGTATGGACTTCTCAGGCTTCAAATAACCAACCTGTGAAATGCTAAACTGTTAAGTTACGAAGAGAGAATGTGACAACTTGAGTTTTCAAACTAAAACTCCAGTATATATAATTGCAAAATCCTTTGAACAGCTTTTTCATAAAATTTTTCAAAAGGTAATTACTGATACCATGGGAAAAAGAAAAGGAGCAATAAAAATTAAGCAATTAGTTAACGACAAGACCATGATCATTGTCTGAGTTCCTTGTGATACAACACAAAATGAGAAAAACAAGCACCCAAATATTAGAACTTCTACCCAAAGAAAGAAAAAGGAACCTCAATGAAACATAAATGCATCTAGAAAAGAAGGACTGCAACTTTCAGTATTATAGCCTGCATTTTCTTTCATTTCTCCTACACTGTCTTCAGGAGCTAATGGTTACAGAGGTTATCTTGATTAATTTAGAAAAATTGACAAGAAAACTGAATTATTAGTTTATTACCTTACTGTAACTATTTAAGGTGTTTGTGGCCTTATAAATCTCATATTCCATAGACTGGCTCCAAGGGAAATTGAGCCATGATCTTAAAGTGCTGAGATCTGTCAAATCATGGGTTGGTAACTGAGCAGCACGACTTACTTTGTCCATCAAATATGATTGGACAGATTCAAGCCGAACACAACAAACGTCACATACACGTTCCGGATTCCCACTGTGAAAGTTTATGGGCAACAGACATCTTCCCTTTGAGCATCCATTGCAGAATATTCCACCACAAAAACGGCAGTGGTGACGAGGGCACATGATAGGGTGGAACCGCACGTTACATAGCATGCAAGCAGAAGCAGCACTGTCAGGCGACCATTTTGGTGGCTCTGCTTCAAGAATTTCCCTAATGGTACCAAAATTAGCCTCTGTAAGAGTTTGAGCCATCTCTTTCCAGGCCTGCTCAAGGAGAGGACTGGATATCCAGGTAACACTCTGTCTGTGTACATCACCCGAAGTAATAGCCCTCACTTTCCCTTGAGCTGCTATTAACATTTCTGTGACTACATCCCACATTGTCAGCTCCTTACTATCACACTTCAACTGATCCCAACCAAAATCTTCATTAGGAAAGTATCCCCGATTAGGATAGAGACCTTCTTTATTCCATTCTTCACATTGGCTTTCAGACATGGGTGGGACAGAGACAGGTATCCAATCCCCAGTTTCTTCAGAGAGTGGTGCTTCATAATAAAAATATTTACCACTTTTTTCATTAGCCTTACCCTCTTGGGGTGCTTCAACTTTGCCTTCTGGCAGCTGCTTCCCTTGCTGAATATCAGTATGCATCATGCTACTATTTTCTATGTCTTCCTCCTTTTTAGGAGAATCCTATCAAAAAGAATAACTCAATTAAATTTGTGAAGAAACAGGATAAGCCACTTTTGGACACATCACATGTCAACAATACTTATAACTCTTTCAAGCAGCCATCACCCATAGAAACTTATGAAAAAAAAAAAAAGAAAAAAAAGAAGCACCCTCTCACATCAACTCATTCAGATTATCATTTTTATACCTTCAATGTTGCCTTAATCAATGTTAAATTGTTAATTCATTCTCATAGCATATATTTCAATCATGCCAGACACAGTTCACCCCCAAGAACTGGATGTAACTGCGTCACTAGGCTTAGAAAAATTTACTATAGACTTTATAATCTACTTAAATGTAGCTCAGTTCAACTAGCATACAGCTTTTACAAATGATTCTGAAACATACTGTAATGAACTACGGTGAACTATGGTACACTAGCATAATTGGTCATAGCAGAAAAAAGAACTTTATACGATTAGATTCATCATTTTGAATGCAACAAATTTTGGACAATGGATAATCCTTACTATCATTCAACTCAACAATTCAAGAACAAAAACAAGATTAAAAATTTTTTATCTCCATAAATCCAATCTATACTTTCTATAATAATATCAGGCCTAACTTCTAAAAAGTTGATTCTTTATAAACCCAAAATTAATCCCAATTCATAGTATTCATCCCAGTTCTCTCAGTTGATTTCTGTTCAAGTGTTTAGAAAACGCATGTTTAAAAAGAGAAAAAAAAAATAGAATTCCCGAATCCCTGCAAGAAATATAGTTTCCAATTTCCGAACTTCCCCACGTTTTCTTGCCAATCAAACAGAGGATTAACAAGAACAAGAGAAGAACCAGATAAATCAAAGGGATAGAGAGAAACAAGTACCGGGGGAAGGATGAATTTTGGGCGGTAGTCATCGATATGAATTTTAGGGTATTGTACGTAACCCTCCATTGACAACTTCTCCAGCGAATTTTGTTTGCTGGGTTTTTGAAAGTTAATCTCTTTTTCCGGGAACGGATTATGAGATGAAGGGAAAAAGTGAAACGGCGATGAGATTTTTTGTGGAGGGAGACTGGTCGATCGTTGGCGGAAGCAGGAATGGCAGGGATGACGTGTTTGAGTTCACATCGGTTCCAACTTTCAAGGACGTTTCTATTTTTTTTTTTTAAGTTGAAAATAAATAAATTAACAATTAAAAAGAACTAACTAATTTATTTTAAAAAAAATTTAACGAAACACTATTTGAGAATTCTATAAATTTTTAACACAATAATTTTCACTTGTTTTACTATTTAAATTATATTAAATTATAAAATATAAATAGTTAATAAAAGTGTAAAATAAATAATTTTAAAATAATTTTTTTATATCATCTTTTGGTATAATCTAATGTATTATTTAAATAATCAATTTTTTTATTTATATAAGACTCATAATATTGAATGTATTAACTCATTTAATAATATAAAAATATTGTATAAAAAAATTATACCTATAACACCACCCTGTGTAAAATATAGGAAAATTATTGATAGAGAAGGACTTCTACTACTAAAAGATTCATCTCTTATTTATTATGTAATTTAATGTAATTTAAATTAGATAATGGTTTTTTAATATATAAATAAAATTTTAAATTCAAATTTTATAAATAAAGAGATATGAGTTGGAAGAGTTTTTCATTATGAAACTTGATACAATTTTACTCCAAATTAATAAAAAATTAATGTGATTTTTGGATAATAAGGACTTACCAAAAAAATAAATTTTCAATATATACTGTCAATACCCTTAAATAAAAATTTTAATATAAAATTAAAATAAAAAATTTAAACTTACGTAACTATAGTACTAAGTAATTAACTTTTCATGAATATATATATATATTGTCAATTCTTGAAACCAGACCAATTCAAGCCGAGCAAAACAATTTCTAAATTGGATAACGAACTCTAAAACCAATTCCTTCTGTTTGATTATTGAATATATATATATATATATATATATATATATTGTCAATTCTTGAAACCAGACCAATTCAAGTCGAGCAAAACAATTTCTAAATTGGATAACGAACTCTAGAACCAATTCCTTCTGTTTGATTATTGATTTTGGCCGGCATACCAATTTTATTAAGTTATTTAATTAAATATATATTTTTATTTAGTTATTACTAATTACTTGCCTCTAATTAAAAATTTTAATAGACAAGTACTTGTGGTCTTAGACTGTTGATATCATTAAAAAACCATTTCATTTTTATAAAAGTGTGAGATTTATATTTCATTCTCGTGTTAAAAAAAGAAAATAGAACCTTAATAATTTATTGGATTTGAAGAGAAATAAAAATGAGTGTGTGAGATTTTAAATGGTGAGACCATGTTTTTAATTTTTAAACATAATAACTAGTAGAACTTTTTTTTTTTTCTTTGAACATATTTGCAAGAGGCGGGTTTCGAACCCCAGTCCGGGGAGGGGGGAATGCACCGGGGTGACTATTGCCACTAGGCCTCAAGGGTCAAGTGCTAATAACTAGTAGAACTTAAATAATAATAAGGTTAAACTTTTAATTTGATTCCTCAACTATTGTACGGATTTCTGTTTTAGTTTATAAACTAAAAAAATCTCTAATTTGATTCCTCAACTATTATATAGATTCGTGATTTAGTCCTTACTGTTTATCAATTTCACTCTAAATTAATCACTCTGTTAAAAATCACTGACGTGTCTGTTACTTAACGATATAAAATCGTTAACTGTCACGTGCCATATTAATAAAGGATCAACTTAGGGTTAAATTAATAAATAGTAACAATCAAATCAAAAATTCTTTTTAGTTTAGGAACCAACTTGAGGTTTGTACAATAATTAAGAGCTTAAATTTGGGATTTAACCTAATAATAACACTAATTTAATAAACATAAAAAAACTACTAATTTAATGAATTATTTAAATATAATAGTAAATAATGTTAATCAACACATGTTTTTGTTACTAATGGTTTATTAGTCCAAATAAAAAAAATTAATTTTTTAAAATAAAATCTTAAATTTAAATTTTATAAATAAAAAAATAAATTATCAAAAAGTAATGTTAAGAAAATTTTCATTTTACTAGATCTAATATGATTTAATTTTAAATTAATTAAAATTTAACATAATTTTTAAGTTAGAAAAAAAAAAAACATGTTTTTGTTTTAGATGGACAGAGTTGTGCCAGAAGTTCAAGACACAGGCTGATGTACAAAACTAGAGTACTCTAGCTAGAATCCTCTGGTAGGTATCTCTGAGATAATCTAACCAATGAAAGAAGAGACATGCGTCTTGGTTTTGAACATATCAGCAACATGGTGTGGTGCTTGATTTGCTTGTCTCTTTACCAAAACTCATTTGCACACCTTTAAAAGGACAAGGCAGTCTCTTTTGCATCAGAAATGACAGATGCAATCAGCCAACTGGGTCTCTACACTTCTGAAAACTCACCCTGATTGAAACAGCTCCAAAATCTAAAGAATTAATTTCAACTATTATCTCTTCAACATGACTCTAAGTCTTGTTTTGTCTCTAAATTGTATTTTATTATAAAATATAAATGATTAGATTAAAGATTTGTCCTTAAGATTAGTGGGCATTAGTTAATATTATAAAAAATTAAGTAATTTTTTTTAAAATTATATTACTTTAACAAAATATTATAAAAAATTAAAATAATTTATTTTTATTTAAAAATTAAGATATTTTAATTTTTTAATAAGATTTTATTACCAATACTATGTCAAATATATTTTTTGAGAGTTGATTTCCTGCTATAATTTTTTGGCAATGAAATTCTCTGCCATTGCCATATTAATACTTGCCAAATGAATTTGATACAATTTTCTCATTTACGAATTTTAAGAATTATGTAACTTCTAAAAAAAGAAAAACTCAATTTACTATAAAAATATTTCAAGTGAAATTAATATATCACATCTTGAGTTAAATAACTTTACATTTATAACATTACATTTTAATTAACTAAAAGGAAAAAAAAAAA